TCACCCCTACTTCACCAGATCAAAAGGTCCCGCAGATTCCTTCTCCGGAACAAACGCAAATACAGACATGGGAGACAACAATGAACAAGTCAGCCTCACAGATGTCGTGGTGGCTCAGCCCACCGTGGCAGAGCAGAATGAACTTATTGCGCAGCTGATGGAGCAAATAGCTGACATGAGGGTAGAGATGCAACGGAGGCAAGACACTCCTCCGCCCGGGTTTGGCCCCAACTTTCTCGATGCAAGACCTCCTACATATTTCCCCTCGTCCAACTCGGATCCTACTTAGCACCGTTCATCGACACCCGTGCACAACCCGTATGGGGTAGATATGACAACCCAAAACCCCCAATACGCATCGGTCTCCTATCAAACTCCCTCACCACTCCCAAACAATCCTTCACAAATACCACTACACCCCCAAAATACTCAAACAACTCCACTAACCCAAAATCAAACCCAAAATCCCACCGCCTTCAATTCCTAAACACCGCATCCACACTTGACCCAAAATACCAATCCCCAAAATTATCAGCAAAACTATCAAACCGCACAGAACGTCCCAAGCCCGTCCATAGCCCCACCCCTCCCCAAAAGAACCACTTTTCAAGTCCCTGTCCCGGCCAAGCATGAGGTGCACGGCTCCGAGTTGGACCATTATGAAGAGCAAGAAAGAGAGTGGAGGGCGAGGGAAGAAGCGAAGGTAGACATAAAGGAGGAGATCAAGAGGGCAATGAGAGAACTGCAATGCACTCCAGACGTCGCCGGGTTAGGCTACACAGAACTATGCATCCACCCAGACTTGAACCTACCTGAAGGGTTCAAGATCCCGAAGTTTGATACCTTCGGAGGGGTGGGCAACCCCATGGCACACCTAAGAGCGTACTGTGACCAACTCGTGGGAGTTGGCAAAGATGAAGCGTTGCTGATGAGGTTGTTCAGCCGAAGCCTGTGCGGTGAGGCCCTGGAGTGGTTCACGCACATGAGACTCGACAATGGCCCAGTTGGAGCGCACTGGCTAAGGATTTCATCGATAGATTTGCATACAACATCGAGATAGTCCCTGATCGGTACTCCTTGGAGAAGATGAAGCAGAAGCCCACAGAAAGCTATCGAGAGTTCGCGTATAGATGGAGGAAGGAGGCAGCGAGGGTGAGGCCTCCGATGACAGAAAAGGAGATTATAGAGGTGTTCGTGCGGGTACAGGAGCCCGAGTATTACGACAGAGTCATCTTATTAATCGGCGCCAAATTCACCGAGATAGTAAAAGTAGGTGAGACTATCGAAGATGGCCTGAAGTCAGGAAAGATAGCCCGAGTGTCTGCATCACCTGGGTCTTCCGGACTGGTAAGGAAGAAAAGAGAGGAGGTTAACGCTATATCACACGGGGGAAGAAAGGCCCCCAGAAACTTACCACGTCCCCAAGGCCGCTCCAACCCTCCATCAAAGCCTCATCAAGCCTACCGTCCACAATCAAATCATTCCGGCAACTACAATGTTGCCCCCTTATCCCGATGCCCATATTTTGTCGTATCAAAATCCACCCCCGATTCCCCAAAATTTTCCCTCCATATATCCAAACTACCCCCAAGCTTATCAAGTCTCTCCCCATTACTAGAATGTCGCTCCTAGCTGCGCTAATGTACAACCAAGCTATCGAGCACCGTCCCCCGCATATAAAATACAAACCCCAGCATATCAAAGCCCCCATCCAAATTACCAAGCCCCAATGCCAAACTATCAAACAAATCCCTACCCCAGAACCCAAGCTCCACGACCAAACGCCCGCAATTACCAACAAGTCCCTCCCCCTCAACAGAGCGGGTATGATCCCCCTCGCCCCAGGGAGAAGAAGCCCTCCAGAAGCTTCACCGCGTTGGCTGAAAGCAGAACTAAATTGTTCAAAAGATTATCCGCGGCCAGATACATCCACCTTATGGGGCCAAAGCCCGTGGATGTCAATTCCGGATTCTACAGACTAGAGCAGAGATGTGCTTATCATTCCAACAGTGTTGGACATGATACAGAAGACTGTATCAATCTCAAGCACAAGATCCAGGACTTGATTGACCAGGAAGTTGTCTCCCTTCAGCCTGCGGCGCCAAACGTCAATACGAACCCGTTGCAAAATCATGGGGGTGGGAACATCAACATGATAGAAATTGACAAAGATAAGCGTGAATCCAAGAGAATTACTCCTGTTGTTCAGGAAGACTTGGAGAAGGCTGTCGCTTCTTTGAGCGTCAGGGAAAAGGGAGAGTTTGTCATTCTGACACCTGCAAAGGCTGTTGCCTTGGTACCCGCAAAGACTCTCGCCAAACCCAAGTTTGTTATAGAAACAGCTGTGGCTCAAGGCATGACCAGATCTGGCAGATATTACACTCCTAACGAGCTTGCTCTTGGAGGACAAAAGAAAGATCATGCCAAGAGACCGATCAGCGAAGCAGAAGCTGAGGAGTTCTGGAAGAGAATGCAGCCCAAAGACTACTCCATTGTCAAGCACTTGGAGAAGACTCCAGCCCAGATTTCTGTGTGGGCCCTGCTAATGAGCTCCTGGTCCCACAGACAGGCTTTGATGAAAGCCCTGGATGACACATATGTGCCCTCGGGTACGAGCAGCGACAATGTAGCTGCTATGATTCACCGAGTCATTCGGGGACACCACATCAGCTTCTGTGATGATGAATTGCCGGCCGAAGGGAGGTCCCATAACAAGGCCCTACACATCACCGTGATATGTCGCGAAAAGGTCATCAACCGTGTTTTGGTAGACGATGAATCTAGTTTGAATATATGCCCCCTGTCCACATTGAAGCAACTGAGGTTTGACCTCGGGAAGTTGGAGCAAAACCAGGTCAATGTGAGAGCATTCGACAGTGTGCAGAGAGACACGTTGGGAGCTGTGAACCTGACCATCCAAATGGCCCCCGTGGAGTTCGAGGCAAAATTCCAGGTGTTGGATATCGACACCAGCTATAACCTCCTTTTGGGAAGGCCATTCATTCACATGGCTGGAGCCGTCCCCTCCACTCTTCACCAAGCGATGAAACTACTATGGAGAAATGAAGAACTGGTTATTCACAGGGAAAGGAGCCATTCAGGTAAGCAGGTGCCAATCTTGGACGAAACGCCGCAAAGTTCGGATTTCTACACGGTGGAGTTGGTAAATGCCACCGATGAAGGCTTGTCCCCACAGACTTCCATGCGGGCCGTGTACAGAATGATTGCCACGGTGATGCTGCAGAGCGGATTCGAACCAGGTTCCGGATTAGAAAGGAATGCACAAGGGATCATCGAGCCAGTTTCGGTCCTTGCTACCGGATCAAAGTATGGTTTGGGGTACATCCCCGCAGATGATGATTTGAAGATGAAGAGGAAAAAGGATCAAGGGTTGACTTAGCCGATCCTGCATCTCTATCAATCCTTTCCAGTCCGGGAGCATGCCGAGCCTGAAGAAAATGGGGAAGGAATCTGTGACCTGTTCATGAAGATTAACGCCGTTATTGAGGAGGAGGTCAATCTAGTTGGCATTCGTGATACGGAACCAGGGGAGATGCTGCAGAATTGGACTTCCACGCCAATCCTGATGTCCCGGACTCTTGGGTAGAAAGGAATTATTTTATGCATAGTAAAATTGGTGGTCGTCCGAAAGAGGCCCGAGACCCATCATTTCTGCATTGTTCTTGATTTTGAATTTTGTTGTGATGTTTGAAAAATGACATGGCACTGTGCCATGACCCAAGTTCGCATTTTGTTTGATTTAAATGAAAGCCTCCTTATTTTGACTTTGTTTATTTAGTTGCTTGTTATATTTTACTTTCCTAATTTTGTCTGTTTATGATTTCAGTAACGTAAGTTATAAACCTGCGAGTGTCATGTCCTGTCATGATCTAAATGAGCAAAATGAGGTAAATGACGACGAGGTCGACGACTACGACGAAGAAAGTGGGAAACCGGATTATGTAGCAGAAGAATTTCGACAGTTCGAGAATCAACATAAACCAAATCTAGAGGAGACAGAAACGGTGAATTTGGGAGATTCGGAAGGTGTCAAAGAGGTTAAGATCAGCACCCACCTGAATGAAACTCAGAAGGAGAGCCTGGTTCATCTGCTTGTGGAATATAGTGATATGTTCGTTTGGGAAGTCGTTGACATGCAAGGGTTGAGTACCGATGTCGTGTCTCATAAGCTGCCTATCAACCCAGGGTTCGAATCGGTGAAACAAAAGACTCAAAAATTCAAGCTAGAATTGAGTTTGAAGATTAAGGAGGAAATCACTAAGAAAATAGAGTCTTGATTGGTGAAAGTAACGCAATATCCAACCTGGTTGGGCAATGTCGTTCCGGTCGCCAAGAAAGATGGAAAAATCAGGATTTGTGTTGATTACAGAGATCTCAACAAGGCTAGTCCGAAGGATAATTTCCCGTTGCCGAATAACCATATTTTGATTTATAATTATGCCAAGCATGAGATGCAGTCATTTGTGTACTGTTACGTGGGTTATCACCAAATTTTGATGGATGAAGAAGACGCAGAAAAAATGGCATTCATCACACCTTGAGGTGTATATCACTACAGGGTAATGCCGTTCGGCCTCAAGAGCGCCGGTGCTTCTTACATGAGAGCCATGACGACTATCTTTCATGACATGATTCACAAGGAAATTGAAGTGTACGTGGACGATGTCATAATCAAATTCCACGAGAGTTCGGATCATTTGACATACCTGAGAAAATTCTTTGAACGTTTGCGTCGGTACAACTTGAAGCTAAATCCCGCCAAATGCGCTTTTGGAGTCCCAGCTGGGAAGTTGTGGGGTTTATAGTCAGTAGGAGAGGTATTGAGCTTGACCCTTCCAAGATTAAGGCAATTCAAGAGTTACCTCCGCCGAAGACGAGAAAAGAAGTGATGAGTTTCTTAGGAAGGTTAAACTATATCAGTCGGTTTATAGCACAATCGACAGTGGTATGTGAACCTATCTTCAAGTTGCTGAAGAAAGATGCCCCCAACTAAGTGGACTGAGGAGTGCCAGACCGCTTTCGACGCTATCAAGAGCTATTTGTCTAATCCACTAGTATTGGTTCCTCCGCGACAAGGGAGTCCTTTGTTGCTATATTTTTCTGTTTTAGATAACGCCTTTGGATGTGTACTTGGTCAACACGACGAGACAGGGAAGAAAGAGAGTGTTATCTACTACATAAGCAAGAAATTTACTCCGTACGAGTCTCGCTACACTTTGCTGGAGAGAACATGCTGTGCTCTGACGTGGCTTGCCCAGAAGCTGAGGCACTATTTGTCATCGTACACTACATATCTTATCTCTAGAATGGATCCATTGAAGTATATTTTCCAGAAAGCGATGCCGATCGGGAAATTAGCTAAATGGCAAATGTTGTTGAGTGAGTTTGACATCGTGTACGTGACTTAGAAGGCAATAAAGGCACAAGCTTTGGCTGATCATCTTGCGGAAAATCCCGTTGACGAAGAGTATGAACCTCTCAAGACATATTTTCACGATGAAGAAGTGTCATTTGTGGGTGAAGATATTTCGGAAGCATACCCAGGTTGGAGATTATTCTTTGATGGAGCGGCGAATTGCCAGGGTAAAGGTGTTGGAGCAGTCTTGGTATCAGAATCTGGTCAGCACTATCCTACGGCAGCTAAACTACGATTCAACTGCACAAACAACATGGCTGAATATGAAGCTTGTATTCTTGGTTTAAAAATGGCCATTGACATGAATGTTTACGAGTTGCTAGTGATTGGAGATTCAGACCTTTTGATTCATCAGGTTCAAGGAGAATGGGCCGTGAAGAACCCAAAGATTGTACCTTACGTGCAATATGTGCAAAATCTGTGTAAAAGGTTTCGCAAGATCGAGTTCAGACATATTCCCAGAATACAAAATGAATTAGCTGACGCTCTTGCCACCATCGCTTCGATGATCAAACATCCAGACGCTGATTATATTGACCCTCTGGATATAGATTTGAAGGAGCATCAAGTCCATTGTTCACACGTGGAATCAGAACCAGATGGTTTGCCTTGGTATTTTGACATAAAGAGATACTTAGAGTCTGGGACATATCCAGAAGACGCTACATTTAATCAGAAGAAGTCGATACGTCGTATGACTCTCAATTTCTTTCTGAATGGAGAAGTCCTGTACAGGAGGACTCCAGATTTGGGTCTATTAAGATGCGGATGCTACTGAAGCTGTGAGACTTATTGAACAGATACATGCTGGAGTTTGCGGTACACACATGAACGGGCTTACTTTGGCAAGAAAGGTTCTTCGAGCTGGTTATTTTTGGATGACTATGGAGAATGACTGTTGCAAATTCGTGGAAAAATGCCATAAATGTCAAGTGCACGGCGATTTGATACGGGTGCCACCTCACGAACTTAATGCTATGAGTTCACCTTGGCCATTTGTAGCTTGGGGAATGGATGCCATCGGTCCTATAGAGCCAACCGATTCTAATGGACACATATTCATTTTGGTTGCCATTAATAATTTCACCAAGTGGGTGGAAGCAGCCTCTTACAAGTCGGTAACCAAGAAAGTGGTAGCCGATTTTGTCCGCAACAATCTGATATGCAGATTTGGAGTTCCAGAATCCATCATTACTGATAACGGTGCAAATCTCAACAGTCATCTGATGAAAGAGATATGTGAACAATTCAAGATTATTCACCGGAGGTCAACTGCTTATCGCCCTCAAATGAATGGAGTTGTAGAGGCCGCTACAAGAATATCAAGAAGATTTTGAGGAAGATGATTGACAAACAGCGAGGTTGGCATGAAATGTTGCCATATGCTCTACTAGGTTATCGAACAACGGTCAGAACATCGACTGGGGCTACTCCATACCTGCTAGTATATGGAACAGAAGCAGTCGTACCTGTTGAAGTCGAGATACCGTCATTGAGGATCATCCAAGAAGCTGAGTTAAGCAACGTGGAGTGGGTTAGCAAACGGATTGATCAACTAGCTTTGATTGATGAGAAGAGAATGGTCACCGTCTGCCATGGCCAGTTGTATAGACAAAGAATGACTCGCGCTTTTCACAAAAGAATAAGAGCCAGAAATTTTGAAGTTGGTCAGTTGGTTCTCAAGCGCATTTTTCCTCATCAAGACGAGTACAAAGGAAAGTTTGCGCCAAACTAGCAAGGTCCCTACATGGTTCGTAAGGTACTATCTGGTGGTGCTTTGGTCCTGTCCGAGATGGATGACGCTGTATGGCCCAAGCCTATCAACTCAGATGCTGTCAAGAGATACTACGCTTGAAGTTTCATTTTGCATTTTCTATGATTTACTTGTAATCGTTCTGTTTGCTTGTATTTGTTCAATTTGAATTCTTATCCCTCCTGTAACGAACTACGTCTTACCTGAATTCTCAATAAACGAGATACGTAGGCGGCCTATGTCGGCTTCGATCACCCCATTTATCCCCTTTAATCATTTCTTTGTATTTGAACTATGTTCGACCTGAATTCTCAAGAATGAGATACGTAGGCGGCCTTTGTCGGCCTCGGTCGGTTTTTTTGTAAATTTTGTTCTTTTTAACCTTTAAGAGGAACTACGTTTGACCTGATTCCTGTCTCAATGGGATACGTAGGCGCCAAAAGGGCTCGGTCATATCTCTCGTAAGATTTCTACTCCCTTTACAGTAGAACAAGGACAAAATTTTTTAGAGGGACTCAAAAATTCTTCAGAAGAAATCTCCTCTTCAGCAAGTCAGACAAAAGACATTTCGAGATTTGCGACTGGGACAAAATTTTTGAGAATATCTCAAAAATTCCGCGATCTGTTCGGTTACAATGGAGAGATGAGCAAGATAGTAAACTGGGACAGAAATTTTGAGGATGGCCTCAAAATTTCGTCATGGGTCTTCCCTACAAGTCTGGAACGCCTCTGAAACTCATCAGCAAGTGTCAGATTCAAAAGAGCTCGTAAAGCCTGATATGACATGACTCGGCAGCGACTTTTTCAGCATACTATTTCTTAAAGATTTCTCATTTCTTTTAAAAATTTTCCCTCTTATGTTTCATTTGTTTTGGCATAAGATATCTTTTCTTATCTATCAAGAGTCGGGAAATCAGGAAATCAACCGGAGATATCAAGACCAAGAGCGAACAACTGAAGGAATCGACACAGATCAGTATGTTTTAAAACTGACAATTTTTCTGTGGATGCAGGTTTATAGTTTTGTTTTGAAGTCGGCCGAATTATCTCGATGGATGAATACGGAGAGCTCCCGAAGAGGAGAAAACCATCTCCAAAATCAGTAATCTTACTGAAAGTAGGTTGCAATTCATATAGTTTGTGTCAAGATGCTTGTGAATGTGTTTGTTTATTTCAAATCATTCTCAACAATGTGAAATTTGCAAAGTGTCTGGCCAGATCCAAAGGTGAATCAAACAGGAATCTCAGCAAAGATTTCACGATTTCTGCAGAGGACGCTACTTGCATTGCGTTATCAAAGCAAGATAATTATTGTCAATCAAGACAATGTATTACCTCAGAAGAGATGCTTATTCTATTATTATTTTACCATTATCGATCAAGTCGATATATTATTTGGAGATCGCCTTGCCGTTATTATCCACGGAGGCGATATAAATATTCATGCATCGCGGAGATCATACACTGCTGAAAAATCATGCATCGCGGAGATCATGCATTGCGAAATCATGCATCGCGGAAATCATACACTGCTGAAAAATCATGCATCGTGTAAATCATGCATTGCGAGTCAACAATTGTGTACGACGAGAGGATTTTATGCCTCACCAAAATTTAGACATCGCGAGAAGAATTTATACCTCGCTGGAATTCATGCATAGCGAAATCATGCATCGCTGAAATCATGCATCGCGAGAAGATTTCATGCCTCACTAAAAATCATGCATCGCGGGAAGATTTCATGCCTCGCTGAAAGTTATACATTGCAAGAAGATTTCATACCTCGCTGAAATTTAGACATCGCGAGAAGAATTTATACCTCACTGAAATTTATACATCACGAGAAGGATCCATGCCTCGTTGAAAATCATGCATCGCGGAAGTCATGCATCGCGAAATCATGCATTGCGAGTTCACAATTATGTGCGACGAGAAGATTTCATGCCTCGTCAAATTTATATATCGTGAGAAGGCTTTATACCTCAGTAGAGTTAATGCATCACGAGAAGAATCCATGCCTCGTTGAAAATCATGCATCGCGAATTTGAAATTTATACATCGCGGGAAGACTTTATACCTCAAAATTTATACACCACGAGAAGAATTTATACCTCGCTGGAATTTGTGCATCACAAGAGGGATCCATGCCTCGTTGAAAATCATGCATCACGAAAAAGTCATGCATTGCGAAAATCATGCATTGAGAGTCAACAATTATGCACGACGAGAAGAATTCATGCCTCGTCAAAGTTTGCACATCGTGAGAAGATTTCATTCCTCGGTGAAAGTTATGCATCGCGAGAAGATTCATATCTCGCGGGAATTTACGTATCGCGGGAAGGTATTCATGTCCCGTAAGAGGACATACACGAATAAAGAAAGAGCAATATTTATCCATCGGCCTCAACATACATCTTTAATTTTGATGAAAAATAAATATCAAGAAGAGCGTCAAAGATAACGACAAAAGAGACATCAATATCGCATCAACATTTATTTATTTATTTTAGCATCAAATGAAGAGTACATTGAAGATTTTATTTCAAAACGCAAGACATAAGCTTTATTTGCTGGACGCCAGACCGATCGTATTGACGTCAATTTGAGGAAAATAATGAAGTGTCGGCACGGTAAAAAGACACGGTCTCCCATCCTAATTACATTTTTAAGCTGACGAGTTTTATCTCAGTCTTTGTCGAGAGCATTCGAAAAGGATGAATTCTCCAAAAACCACAGGTGCGGACGACATCGAAAAGGATGCAGCACAACGTGGAACTTTTTCTTAGCAGCGAACTGGGACACAGTCCAAAGAGGAATGTCACACTCTTAGAACGCGAGCAGAGGAGCGACTTCCACCACAATCGAACCACCCTCTCGAAGCATGCGGGTTTTTCTTTGGTTCTATCAGTTTCGGTCTCGCGTCCGAAAATTTCATTTTATTGGAAGCAAGTTTCCAATCTGAGTGACAATGCGCCAAGAGCTTTGGAAATTATGTCCGTGTAAGTTCTTACCTATGGATGTGAAGAGCTCCACATTCATGGCTAAGAGGTTACAAGCATCCTTTTCATGCTCGTTTAGCTTGTCGCTTATCCAAAACCGAAGGTTATCTAGCATAATAGGTTTCCTTCTCCACCAATTGAGTCGAACTACACACAGCCTGATTCCGACGGTTTACGGATATGTAGGCGTATTCAATGTTGAAATCTCGGCTGTATTTCAACATTCACTCTCGAATTCTATTCTCGAGCATTTCGATACCTTCATAATTCGGTATCGATATGGATTTTGATTCTTTCAAAATCGTGCGATAAATCAATCTTATTGAACTACAAGTGGCCTGAATTCTCATATAGCCTGAGATATGTAGGAGACCCGTTTGCAAGGGTTCGACCATAATTCCTAAATCCTTTGTCGCTTCCTTCTTTTAAAAAATGAATGGGGTTGGTCAAAATTGGTTGGGTCAATTTCATTTTCCTCGAGTTGCTTGCATCAACCCAAGTAAAATGAGGGACAGTTGTTGACACCCAATTTTGACCCGCGTCGGTATAAATTAATTATCGAGCTTCCTAAATTTTCTGAATATTTTAAATTAATTAGTTTTATAAATTTTACGAATATAATAATATAATACATGAATTTTATGTTACTTCGAATACTTTTGCCATAATTTTTAGGTAGTATACATGTTTACATAATCATGTATATGGTTAGTATATTTTATGATTCTTCAAAACCCTCTAAGAAGTACACCTAAGTATTTTATTAAACTAGTTTAATCTAAATTTTAATTATACTTCAATCACTTTTACGATTTTTATGATTCTTTTACAAAAAAAAAGGCAGGGGGGAGCTCGTTGAATAATTAATACAAGTTCATTTTTATTTAAGGATTAGCCAATTTTTAATCTTGTTTTCATTTAACTAAAGTTGACCGTCTTTAAAATCTAACACATTTGTCATTTCAATCCATGAAGCACCAGATTTGGGCTTCCCATTCAAGATTCAGGCGGCCCACTTCCCTTTTATTCCCTTCCATTCAAGTCCACTCCCCACTTCTTTTTGTTTTATCACCTGGGCCCAACTCTCCTTTAGTATAATCCCACTCAACCCAATTTCAGCAGCCCACCTTTCCTCTTCCAATCCACGCCCGAATTCTATTCAGCCGCCCCAACCACTCAAGCCCAATTCCTTTTTAACCCATCCGACCCATATACCCCCTTTAATTTTTGACCCAGCCCACAAACCCTTGACCCGATCCCCTGCAACACCCATGAGCCCCTCCCCTTTTTCTTCCTCTTTCCTTCTTCCCTCTCACTTCGACATTTCCAGGAAGAACGCCAAAACCCAAAAAAAGAAACAGACGCGACAGCACCCATAAACGGAAATCCCACCTCTGACGCAACCCTTCCCCCCAGCGTCTCCCTCACGTTCTTTCCCTCCTCACGTAAAACCCCCTCAAATGCGACGCAAAACCCAGAAAAAGCAAAAGACCCCTCCCCCAAAACGGAAACTTCCCCAAATGCGTCTCTCTCTCGCGTCTCTCCCCATCCTCTCTCCCTCCTCTCTCTCTTCTCCTCTCCCCATCGCGATGCGCAACTCCTCTAGTGAAAACAGAGTTGTACCTGATAGCAGCTGTCTCTTGTCGTTTCTCTCGCCACGTCTCTCTCACACGTACGTCTTCGCAGTGCTAGGAGACACGGGTCGTCCTTGTTCATCCTTGGTAGCACGAGATTGAGCCACGTCGTGTACCAAGGACGGAAGGCTCATCTCGACCCTCCACCTCGCCTCAAAGCCGTTTGGACGATTTGGAATCGAGGAATATTCTGAAATTTTGAATAAGATTTTGGTGTTTTTGAATTTCAAATTAGCAAATGGGCCAAAAACCCTCCTGCCAGGCCCCTCCCTCGAGAACCCAAAATTTTCCTTCTATTTAAATAGGGTCTCGTTTGGTGAAAGGGGTTGGAATTTTTTTGGAATTTCGG